GAAGAGATGTACATCCCTTCCAGCCCTGGCTCCTAAAATACCTGCATCTCTCTCCATGTTTTTTTCGTCTCCCCTCCCCACCCTTCATCCCGTAGGTCCTTCCATGCCTGTGTGGCGCCTACTCCTGCCCCCTAATCCCCACAACCCACAACGCATTGTGACGTGGACAAGAAATATGATTTCACTGTTTTAAGCCAGTGAGATTTAAGGGTTGTTTGTGAATTGCCCTTATTAACACAGAAGAGAAGAAACAACTGGAAGAAAGGAAAGAGGGTGATGTGAGAGAAGGGCAGTCAGGTCCAAATTTCCTTCAGAGACATCTGCAAGCATTCTGACTCTCTTCTCTGCGTTTCAGCAGAGCAGGCACATGGTTGATAAATTCTAAAAACAACTAGCAGAACAGCTGGAAGTGGAACCACGGAATGCTTTCTTACAAGCTGTGAGCTTATGGGGTCGGGGGCGAGCTGTGGCTGGAGATGCTTCCCACAGGCCAGCTGTGGTGAACCGCTTTCAGTCCTCGCAAGGGCCAAGAGGTGTCCAGGCATCTCAGCAAGGCCCCAAGACCCCTCACGGCCACACCAAACCCTACGGAGGATCCGAGGGCCCGAAGGTCGAGCACACCAGAGGCCAACAGGCCAGCTGTGGCGACGAAAACTAACCCCAGGTCCTACCTTGTTATTAAAAAGATTTTGGATTCTGAAAAAAAACACACAACACAAAACCCAAAAAACAGAATGAGGATTAAGAATAGCTTAAATGCACAGTTTACTTACTACTTCAAGGTGCAGATCTTTAAAAAGCTTTTATTTGGAAGGATTTCAAACATGAAATTATAGGAGAGGAGTATAATTAATTTTCATTTACCTATCAGTCAGCCTCAACAATGACCAACTCATTACTAATCTAACCTATTTCTGCCACATGGCTTTCTATCTCTTCCGTTACTAAGAAGTAAATTCCAGATATCATATCCTTTCACCCATAAATATTTCAGAAGATATCTCTAAGAGATAAGATCTCCCTTTAAATATACAAAGGACTCATACAGCTCAACAAAAGGAAGATGACTAACACACTTAACCATTCCACTTTAAATCTTTGTGTCTAAATTTCTACATTATGTTAGTTTCATATTAATGTAACCATTCATTCTTTTAATTTCTTTTGTCACCGTATTTCTTTCAAATTTTCTTTCAACATTAAAGGTGAGAATAGTAGTGTGTCCTATATACATATACATATATATATATCCACAACATTATCACCTACAAAAATGAACAATTCCTTAATATCATAAAAGGTCGAGGTNATATATATGTATATATATATATCCACAACATTATCACCTACAAAAATGAACAATTCCTTAATATCATAAAAGGTCGAGGTAATGTTCGAATTTCTCTTGTTGCCTCTCTTTAAAAAAAAAAAAAGACTTTATTTTTTGTCCAGCCGGTGTTCCTCAGTGGTTGAGCATCACCTATGAATCAGGAGGTCAAGGGTTCAATTCCCAGTTAGGGTGCCCGGGTTTCAGATTTCGGGCTCCATCCCCAGTAGGAGATGGAGGCAACAGATCAATGACTCTCATCACTGATGTTTCTCTCTCTCTCTCCCTCTCCCTTCCTCTCTGAGATCAATAAAAACATTTTTTTAAAGGCTTAATTTTTTTTTTAGAGCAGTTTTAGGTTGACAATAAAATTGAAGGTACAGGCATTTCCTATGTACCTCCTGTTCTCACACATGAATAGCCTCTCCTATTATCAACTTTGTCTGGATGTACCATAATTTATTTATTCACTCACCTAATGGAAGGAAGTATTGTTTCCAAGTTTTGGAAATTATGAATAAGTTGCTATAAACATTTGTATGCAGGTTTTTGTGTAAACATAAGTTTCCAGCTCCTCTGGGTAAATACCAAAGAATGAAATTGCTGGATTGTGTGACAACAGAATATTTAGTTTTATAAGAAACTGCCAAACAGTCTTCCAAAGTGTCTGTACCATTTTGCATTCCCCCCAGCAATGTATGAGAGTTCCTGGTGTTCCACATACTCACCAGCATTTGGTGGTGTCAGTGTTTCGGATTTTGGCCATTCTGATAGGTGTGTAGTGGTAGCTCGTTTTAATTTGTATTTCCCTGATGACGTATGATGTGGAGCATCTTTTCATATATTTGCCATTGTATATCTTCTTTGGTGAGGTGTCTGTTAAGGCCTTTGGCCCATTTTAAAATCAGGTTGTTTTTATTATTATTATCATTGAGTTATTATTGTCTTTTTTAATCTGTGGGTTCTCTCGTTTTCCCCTCTATATAGTTTTGTTTTTAAGAAACGAAGTTGCTTCTCTGCAGCTTCTACAATCGGATTTTTCTGAATGTGTCATTTCAGTGTTGTATAGGAGTTCCTCTGTATTTCCATTAAATGAGTAGTTAGATCTAGAAACATGATCAGACTCAAGTTCAATTTTTTGTTTGGCAAGGCTACTTCACAGGCAGTGAGGCAGCCTTCCACCAGGAGGCACAGTTGCTCTCTTTTTGAGATAACAGCAGCTATTGCACTGCATTGGTTCATTAACAAAACTAACGGTTGCAAAACAGTGATATTCTAAATGCTGTCCCTCCTTGTATTAGGTTTTTATGCTTCTTTGAAGAAATTTCCCATCAACTATTTTGTTACTCTGAGATGCAATTTATATAGAGAGACCAGAAAAATGCTTAATTTTTCTTCTACTTACAAGATTTTCCAAATGAGGAATTGATTTCCTACCACCATTTAAAAGTGACTAATGAGTTTTTAAAAAATCATTATAAACTTATGTATGTGAACAATTTTATATTTTCAATCCTCCAACATCATTATACTTACTGATGCTCAAACTATTCCGTCTTTGACGAGTGGAAGTCTATTCAGGTTGGCTCCTGAATCCTTTGACCTGACTCTACTAGTCTTTAAAAACTAACCTGCTTTTGCTAAAACAAGATGTTCCAGGCTTCTTTTACATTTCCTAACTCATACCTGGAATTAGCTATTTATCTAAGGCAATGGTTCTCAACATGTAATCTTCCCCCCCCTCCCGAAGTCCCTGTGATCCTTTCCTTTCATGGGGTCTGTGAGGTCAAAATTATTTTCATAATAATACTAAGTTGCATTCGCCATTTTTAACTACTCTCATTCTCTCACAAATGTGTAGGAGGTTTCCCAAAAGTTACATGATGTGTGATATTGTGTGATATTATGATTGAATGCAGAAGCAGTTATAAGAATTCTGCTGTCATTATTTAAGCCAGACACTCAAGAAATTTACAAAAATATAAAAATAATGGCATTCTTCTCACTAAATAATTATTAATGAGTATTTTGTTATTTTAAAATGTTTTAATTTCTAATGTAATTCTAATTCAGTAGATATAATCCACATAAACAAAAGGTCTTTGGAATCCTCAACAATTTTTAAGAGTTTAAAGAATTTTGGGAACTGCAGTTCCAAGGAGTCTTAGTTCCTTTTAATGAAAAATGATACTTAAGATATCACAATTTAGTAGCTAGAGATGTTCACGGTTATTAGGTTGGCCACTGTTTTTAGGCCATTCAGTGAGATAAAATTATACACACACACATATAAAGATAAATTACATCATGAATTGATCATGATTCTTTCTATTCAAATTCAGGACTATAGAGTTTTTACTTAAACTCATACAGTTTACATTTATATCTCCTTTCTCCCATTACAAAAATCCCTGCATAACCATTTATTTTCAATGTCAGATTAACAATACCTCCATTACCATCTCTACCAACAATGATTACTTAAAACAGCTTGAGGTTTTTTTTGCAGTTCTGTCTTTGAGGTATACCGACAGATGCACAGTAATTTGATGGTTGAAAGTTACTTAAAATGTGTAAGATTTTTGGTCTTGAAGTAACAAAGTTCTACAATCTTTATTTTATTATAATTGTTCTATGTGATCCTGATACTTATTTGTATTTTTATTGATATGTATGTGTTAAATTTTAGTAGAATGAAGAAAAATGGGGAAAAGTTACTTGAAATGGTGTGTTTCCGAGATTATGCCATCAAGCAGATTAGTTAGATCCATGTGTTCTTACTTTCGATTTTCAGAGGCTGTTTTTGTAAATTTAACTGTTTTACGATAATACAGAATATTTACCTGGTTCTAGACTCAGTTCTATTAAATAAGATATATTCAGAGAAATTTGCTTCTACCCGTCTCCTCTATCCTATTCCCTTTCTTCCCCATAGGTAACATTTAAAAAAATCGTTTCCTTTCCATTATTTTTAGAGTTTAATCAAACATGTATAATATTTAGTATCTTTATTTTATTATAATTGTTCTATGTGATACTGATACTTATTTGTATCACCTTTTTGGACAAAAGGAAACATACTATATACACTTCTCTCCCCTTAGCTTTTTTCACCTAATAATATTCTAGAGATCAATCCAGTCGTTATATAAGCACATCGCTGTGCTGTTGTACCATGATTTATTCAACCAGTGATCTCTACTGAGGGATTTGGGGGCAATTTCCAACATTTTATTATAAATACTGCTGCAGTGAATAGTCCTGCACATTCTTTTCATATTTTTACCACCGTTTCTTTGGGACAGAGGCCTAAAAGTGGGATTGCCCAGTCGAATCCACAGACTCTAGGTCACAAGGAAGGGAATTCCAAGGTGGGAAAGGCAAGTAAAGAATTTTACATTTGGAAATCACATTCAGTGAATCACCTACTCGCACCCCGCAGCTCCCAGCACTCCCGCTCTTCCTTCTCCGCCGCCTCTTCCCCTCCTCCCCTCCCTAAAGCGCTCCTCTCCCACTCTGGCAGGTTAGCCGGAAGTGGAGCGGCAGGTGCAGGCTCTGCGCATGCCCAGCCAGCGCGCGGCGATTGGTGCCGCTGCTGAGGGACCAGAGTGGCGTCATATCGGCGCGCCGCTCCCAGGCGTCCTCGCAAGGTCGCTCGGCCCGGCGGGAGCGCGCGTAAGTGCCGATACCCTGTTCCGGGGACGCGCCGTTTCCTTCGGGCTGGGTACTAGCGGCGACATGACAGGGTACACGCCAGACGAGAAACTGCGGCTGCAGCAGCTGCGAGAACTGAGAAGGCGATGGCTGAAGGACCAGGAGCTGAGCCCCAGGGAGCCGGTGCTGCCCCCTCAGAGGGTGTGGCCTTTGGAGAGATTCTGGAATAAATTTCTGCAGGACCAGGCCCCCTGGAAGAACCTGGTGAGTGACGGGCCTCCTTCGCCCCATACGCACAAACCTCCGTGCCCCCCTGCCTGTGTGCTGCGATGCCTGTTCCTTGGAGCCGCACCAAGGACACTGACATCGCTGTGCACCCGCAAGTCCCCATAGTTCCCCGAGGGAGGGTCAGGTTCAAGCGAGACTTAGGTTTAGCCAGAACGCTGCCTTGCCCCAAGAGCCCTGAGCTGGGACTCAGGAGTCCAGGAGCATGTATGGCTTTGGGAGAGTCGTGACCCTTTGCTGTCTAGTGGGAGGAGGAGGCGAATCTTTGCTTGGGTTTTACAGCACGCTGCACGTTTGGTTCTCTTTTGACTGTACAGATCTTTTCTCAGACTGATAGCCAAGGATTCACTAGTTAAAATTCTATTATTTTAGTATTTGAGGACACTTGTCTGATTTTTCAGGTTGAAGTTATAGAAGACCAACTAACACTACAGCCCACTACCACAAGGCACTGTGAGCTGATAGTACAGCTCCTATTTGATTACCATAATAGACAGGGTCCTATTGGTATGCTTACTGGTCATATTCAAGAGCCACCTTTCTAAACTACCACTATGTACTTTTAACACACCTTTTCATTAAAAAAAAATGCTATTCCTGGACCTTGCTGTACAGAAAATTACTCATTTAAGAGGTGTCTTTATTTTCAGGGTTTCTGGACATTTTCTTGAGGTCATTAACTAAAGCACATCAGTTATGGGTGATAAACACTGTATCTCAGAATTGCTTTCACTTAGCTACAACACTGGCTGATAATAAGTAACACTTGGGTGCTTACTTTGTGCATGGCACTTTGCTGAGCATTTTACATGTTTTACTTTATTTAATTCTTTACTCCTATAAGGTAGAAACCTATTCCTAATTCTCATTTAAATGAGTGGAAACTGAGGCCTACAAAAATAAAGTGATTTACCTGTGATCATAGAGCTAGGAATTGAAGTTCACACTGAAGTTTATGTATATCTACTTTCTTACAGTGCTACAAAGTCTGTTGTAAATTTTGCTGAGAAAGTGGTATTAGATACTTATTTATGGTGATGAAATTAAACTCTAATTCAACCTTTCTCTCACCCTTTGTATCCTTGAAATTACTTGTTTTCGGCAGCTGCTGGTTGGAAGTACACATCCCTCCCATCAGCTAGTGATGTAAAGCAGTACATAATCACTTGTTGAAATCCATCTTACCTTACTTTAATTTTTTCTTCCACAATCATATCTATAACAACTTAGAATCCTTTCCCTGAAAGAATAGGTGTGTTTCAGTCAAATTGGCTGCCATGGAAAAGTTCCATTGTTTTTTTTTAGCTCTCTTTTGCCTTTCTCTTAAAATAGTATAAAGGCATCCCAAAGTGATCTTGGAACACTCCTACCCAAGTATGTAAAACACTCTTTTTTCAGCATGAGTGTGCTCAGGTTGTCTGCTTCCCACCTAGAATGTTGCAAGTGGTGTTGGTTGTTGGTATCTGAAACTGATAAGTTACGGAGATGACTTTACCTGAAAAATTCTGTAGGTTTGATTACTCTGGTTAAATCAATTAAAATTATTCTTTCATTATTATGCCATGTTTTATCTTTAACAAACTTATAATAGTAAAGATATTTTAGAAATATTTTTATTGATTTTTTTTTTTTTTCGAGAGAGAAAGAGGCAGGGGAGAGAGAAACATCGATTTGTTTATTGTTCCATTTATTTGTGCATTTATTGCTTGATTCTTGTATGTGCCCTGACCGGGGATCGAACACACAACCTTGGTGTATTGGGACAACACTCTAACCAACTGAGCCACTTGGCCAGGGCTAGAAGTATTTAAAAAAAGATCTATGTCTTACTTTAGTCATGCAAAATGCTACTTGTCTTAATGCAATTTGCCCTGCACTATAGGTATCCCCTGGCAGGCCCTATGTTTAGAAAAATATTTGAATGGTTGAGGGTAGCTATAGACTATAAAGAAATTTGTAGCATTTAGAAATTTTAAAATAATCATGACATTGTTATATCACTGATTTTTTTTCCTGCCACAAAAAGATGGGCTATCTGTTTATTTTGTGTATGGTTTTTTTTCTCAGATCTATAAGACATATCGACACAGTGTCCTTGTTGTTACTCATGTACTTATACCTGCGTGGATTGTGCATTATTATTTCAAATATCATGTGAATGTAAGTATGTCTTAAATATGTGTTTTTCAGAATTTATTTTTAATATTGTACAAAATCATTTCTTATGTGGGTATGCCTTATTGCCAAATGTTTATTTCCCCTTAACTGATATAAGATGTTCAGTGAAACCTTCCCTAGACAAATCCCAGACAGAGCATTCAGTAAACCGCTCAACATCTTTCTTACCCTGCTTTATTTAGTGGAAATAATCTGCCACTTGAAACTGACTTTGAACTACTTTGAATCCTTTTAGGTAAAAGGCTTAATGAAATTTAAGTGATGTATGGTTTTTCAAAAAGTTAATCTTTATATTAGTTGCTTACAACTTGAAATGCATTTCCTCAAAGAAAGTGTTTAAATGATCAGAATGTAGTTGATCTAATAATACTAGTATAGATTCAGGATCATGAGTAGGAAGGGAGAAAAGAATTTCTACTTCTCTTTTTGAGCATAGGTCTGGTATAAGGTAAAATTCAAAATAGTCAAAGGTTATCTTTGTCATCATCCCATTTCCCTTTTCTTTATTCTATTTGATTTTTCACAACTTTTTTCTTTAGAATCCAGGACTTTTTCATGGAAAGATCTTGCATGTGGTGATTGAAGTGAGCCAGTTGCCATGTTTTAAGGCTAAGGATTGCCTTGTGTAGGGTGTTGGAGCCCAGGCAGGGTGAGGAAGGAGTGCATTTCTGGAGTGGCAAGGAAGGGAGAGCAGCGGTAGCTGCCCAGCATGGAGTGTTGTAACCCAAACAGAGTAGGAGGGCATTCTTTTTCCCACTGAGGAGTGTTAGATCCTGAGTGGGTGGCTGCGTGGGGGTAGGGGGTAGGGTACTGGTGAGTAGACCTGTTTGGAGAGTAGCAGTGGCAGCAACCTGGTGTAGGATATTGGAAGAAGGGTGGTTTGGGGTAATGATGGAGGTGGAAGCACATAGTAAGATGTCAGAACCCGAATGAGGTGAGGAGATTATTTATATTGGAGTGTGGTGATCGTGACAGGAGATTGGTTATATATAGGAACACTGGTCAAATAAGTACATATATTGATGATAGTGGGCCCCAGGATTCCCATTGTCAGAAAAGGGAGCTACACATATGGAAAGGGAGAAAACCCTGTGCTACTGGAATGGAATTGGGAGTATAGGTGTGAACTTGTGGTTTTTAATATGTATTGATAGATAGAGAAGTAAATATAGATGTAAGTGTGGATATTCCCTAGCTCTGTCCACTGACAGCGCCTGGTGGCAGAACTGTCTTATGGTAATTAGCACATCTAGTAGCCTGGTCTTATTTTCTAAATGAAATTCTTCACTGAAAGGATCCAGGGCTCTTTGGAGAAATGGCAAGGTCCAAGGCTGAGGCAGGGAAAATACAAGATGAGCTTGTTGTACCAGAAAGTATTGTTCAAGGAATGATGGCACTATAACAAAAGGACACAGAGTCAGCTTGAAAGGACTATCACTGGGACAATTTGAGCATCAAAATAAATAATGATAGTAATAGATGATAGACAACTGAATAAGTAAAATGTAAATCCACTTTAACTAGAATCCTAAAACGAATATTTTAAAACCTCTAATAGTTTTACACATTGCAAATATTCTAAATAACAGGATATATGGATTGTCCCATTTTTTTCGGGACTTGTTAAATTTGACAGTCACCTGCCTATACTCTGGATTTGATATACTTCATCATGTCTATATTTAACTAAATTTTTCTAGGATTGAAAAGACACTTATGTCCTAAAAAGCGAATTTAACAAGCTGCAATTACTGGGTCAACAATTCAAGACATTAATATGGTTGTTTATTTGAGGGATTCGTACTTTCAGGTGATTTTTCCTGAATCAAAGATGAACATAATTAGTTAAATGTTTTGTGTCAGTAGAGATCCCCAGGCCTCTCTTTCACCTTATTTTCTCTTGATTTGGGTAGGACTACATCCTTAATAACCCTTGCAGCCAGTTTGCTTCAGCTAACACCTTTACTGCTTACCTGAATTTTACCTTCTCTCTGGTGACATTTCAATGTCTCATTACCTCTGGTCAGAGTTCTTAAAGGACATTTTAATGTTTTCACATTGTATTATATAAAATGTTTTTAAAGACACTTTAATGTCCGCTAATTGTATTCTAAGTTTCTCTCCTGCTTTTGGCTTCTGTTTCTCCAAGTTTTACATCATGCCAGTAATCTTCTAAATTTTTTGGTTTGGTATTTCATGAATATATATATGCTTAATAAATACATTCATTTTACAAATATTTATTTAGTTCCTCCTGTGTTCAAGGCACTGTTCTAAACATAGGGATACAGCAGTAAACAAATCAGACGAGTCCCTGCCCACATGAAATGTTTATTCTAGTCTAGGGGACTGGCAATAAATAAATAAATAAATAAATAAATAAATAAATAAATAAATAGGTCTAAAATGGAGGCAATAAGTCTGGAGAAGAAAAACTAAGCAGGGTAAAAGACTAGAGAATTTTAAATTAGGCCTCTCTGAGGAAGTGCTATTTGAAGAGAAATGTAAATGACATGAGGATATGGACCAAGCAGATAACTAGAAAAGCATTTCAGGTAGAGGAAGCATTAAGTATAATGGCTCTGAGGCTCAGGCAGGCCCAACTGTTCGGACCAATAGCAAAGGAGCTACCATAGTACAAGTAATATAGTACAAGGAGAGAGAAGTAGCAAGGACTTTGGCTTTTTCTATAAGAATTAAGAACCTTTGAGCAGAGGAGCGACATATGTTAAAAGAATCACTCTACTCTGCCTGCAGTGTGATTAGACTGTAGGAGGACATGTAGTTGAAAAATGATAGAGGGTTGGACAAGGGTAGTAGTACTAGAGGTGGTGAGAAGCACATTTAGGATATAGTCTCAAGGTAGAACCAACAGGATCTGTTGAGCAGTAAAAATTTTTAGCCTACTTAATTGGGATAATGAAAGGGTCATGTACCGAGATAGGGGCAAGTTAGGAGCTGGGGGAAGTTAAGTGTTGGACATGGTTAAGTTTGAGGTGCCTATTGACAGTCAAGTAGAGATATTGAGTAAATGGTTGTATGAGCCTGGAGTTTGGTAAAAATTTGGGACTAAGTTAAATATATGGGATATGATTTTTTTTTTTGTTACAAGAAACTCTAAAACCGTAATTAACAGCATTACTCTTATTGCAGACAAAACCATATGCCATTGTTGAAAGGAAGCCCAGAATATTCCCAGTAAGTCTTAAAACATCTGATTTTTCTTTTTTTCATTATTTTTCATTCTCCTTTCCCTCCCCAAGTGATTGACTAAAATGTTCCTTTCTTTTCACTGTCAGTTCAAGTGCCTCTTTTCTATATTCTTGTTTAAAAAAGAAAGGAAGAAATAGTGTGAGGTAGCAGTTACAGTTGAAAATGGGAGGTGGGCACATTTCTTTTCAACCTGTCTATAAATCTTGTATGACATTTATAGTCCTAAAATGAACTGAAGGTAGATGTCTTGTTTTTATGTAGGGTTAAGGACTTAGGCACGAGCCTGAGCAGACACCTGAGCATAGTAATAGCAACTGAATTCCTGTTACTATTTCAAACTATCATTTCTTATGGCAGTTTGACCTTAACATCTCCATCTGTGAATTTAAAATCTGTTAATGTGTGCTTAAATTTTATAATATGAATATATAAACTGTTATCCTAGTTTAAAAGAAGTCTTTTCAGCATTAAAAGATTACACAGTAGTCGGTTGGTATTTGTACTGGTTTTGAGGTTATTGTTTAACATAGAAAAATACATGTTATATCCTATTTCTAGTCACAGATAATGAACTGTTGTCAACCCCTTAAGTTCTATAATTTTGAAAAACAAAACTCAGTGTTGATTCTTGCTTCAGTTGATTGCTTGACATAGTCCCAATAACCCATTATCTACTACAACGTAAGGGAATTATAGAGAGAACCACGAAAATTGGCTAACCTTCCAGTTGGAACTCTGCTTTAGGAATTGTAGGGGCTTTCTTCTATATTTCATTATCATTGATGTATGTTAGGGCCTAGGTAGTCTCAAAATAGGTAATTATCTTACTGGTTTCACCAGTTGGGTAATTTATGTATTCTTCCATTTACATATTTATTATCTTTTTATTTTGCCATTACTATTCAAAGGAAAAAAAGGAAGGTTCTCATTAGACCACATAATACTTCCATAGCATTTCTTCTACTTCTGTATTTTTTGCCACTGTGGTTCTTTCTGTTTCTGTGCCATTGATCCCTTTAAGAAGCTTCCTATTTGAGGACTTGAAGAACACTCGTTTGTACACAGAATAGGATAAGCAGTGAGAAACATACCTCCAAATCTCTTTGGTTTAACAAAACAAAGGTCAGTTTCTTATCGACATCACAATGTAGAGCATGTGATCTTCCTGTCTTATAGTTAGTAAGACTGTCTAGAATGATGCTTCCAAGATCATGTTAGGGGAAGACAGGGCTGGACATCTTGGGATGATTTTAAGGCCTAAACATACAAGTAGCTTACATCACTTCTCTGAAATCCTGTTGGCCAGTACTCATTCTCATTGTTGTAAATAGCTATGTGCTTTTTTATATTTCCCGGCCTCCTGTGACTGGACTGTATGCCACAGCCCATCCTTTTAGTCTGAATAGCTCTTTGCTGCCTTCTCCCACACATATAACAATTCCTTCCCTAGGGAAAACCCCAAAGTCCCATCCCATCACTATAACTAGCCTCAAATCCAAGATCTCCAGATGATGCATAATAGTATGTCAGGTTTAGATGTGACTTCTTTTGGAGATTTGAGGATCAATGAACTAAAAAGGCAAGTTAAGTGTATCCTTTGTCCCCCAGCCACCACCATACCTATTGTTTGGTGGTGGAATTTTAGACAGCAGAGCACTCACTGATTCTTGGCAATTCTGAAATTGTGTTCAGATATTACAAAGACTCCTAACCCTTGTGTATGGGAGTTACTTGAATGGACACCGATTGTGTTTTCTGGAAGTAACACCTTTGTTCATTGTTCTTCCTGGCCCCTGGCTCTGTACAGGGGGTCTTTCTTTTCCATTATCAACCTAGACCACATCTAAAACAGGCACTGGGAAGCATGCCCTTCTTAGGGTCCTACAGCCTTTTAAATCTACCTCCTGCTCACAGAAGGTTGAGTGCCAGAGGTTATTTTAAGCTCAAACATTCACAGGCTTTTGTTGTCTGTTCGGTTTTTTTGACCATCTAGTTCCCACGTTTGGTAGGCATGAAATGAAAAATACTTGATAGGAGTCTATTTGCTTCTAGTCAGTCCCACATGCATCTGTGCTTTCTATATAGTTACCAAGTCTTCTCCTTTCTTTGTCCTCATGCAACTGCCTCTCAACTCAGTGGCAGCTATGTGGAGGCCATCTGAAACAGAATCTTCACTTCAATCTGATCTTTGACAAAGGGCTGCATCCCTCTGTTTACTGAGGTTATTGGGCTTCTCAGCATGTCTTCAGTGTTAATCCTTACTATTTAGATTCAGAAACAATCTGATTTTCCAACCCTGAAAGGCCCTGAATTTTATTTTCTCCATTTTTGTTTCTACTTTCCCAAGGCAGCTAGTAGTTAAACACATACTATAACTTTTTTCCAGCTACCTGTCCAGACTGCCAAGCCAGTGCCATGTGGTTCAATTTTTATTACAGCAGCATTAGTACCACTTCAGAATACTAATTTCTGTGTTAGGGTAATCTTAGCTATGGTAATAAATTATCCCCAAAATGTATAATGGCTTAAACTTAAAAAGTTTATTTCTTCATCAGGTAACAGTCCTGAGCAGTACTAGGTCAGGAAATGGCAGGGGTGGGATGGCGGATAATTCTACTCTACCCATTCATTCATGGACTGACAGATTGACAGAATCTGCTATCCTAAACACAAAGCTAAAACTAAAGCTAAGTAATTTGCCTAATCTTATATAACTTGTTAGTGGAGTTTCCAGGATTCTCACCACTTGGTTCTGGCTCCAAAGCCCATACCTTTTCTACCACACATACTCTATCTAGGTTTGAAGACACCTGAACCAGCTACTCAGGCAAAGTTTGCATTCTGTCTCTACTCTCTGGGCCAAATGGTAAACTGGTGATTGCCTAACACATTTAATTGCTGGGAATATATTACCTCCTTATATTGAGCAGAAGGTGTTCCCCTGTAACTTCTTTCAAGAACTGCTTCTATTTTTGGGGACCTTGCAAATAAACATTATTCCTTTGTCACTCTGTGAAGACCCACTTTTATGCCCTTTCTGGTTATTTCGTTTGAGTGAAACTTCCCCGTTCTTTCACTTCCACCTTAAGGTTCTGAATATTGGTTTCCCATCTTTAGACAGCTTCTGCTTTGTTAAAGTCCCTTTATAGTGTGAATGCCAAAGCTGAACTAGATTTTTGGTATGAGTTCTGACTGAGCGGATATACCTCTGCAGACAAGATTTTTCTTCTAATGCATGTTTGTTTTCCTAGGGTGATACAATTTTGGAGACTGGAGAAGTAATTCCACCAATGAAAAAATTTCCTGATCAACATCATTGAAGGTTAATTTACAATTTCTAAGGCATATGAGCCCAAGTTTTGTTGCTACATTACCATATTTACTGAATATATTTTCTGGAAAAGTAACTTTAATAAAGTTTACTCTCAGATATGTGTTGTCTGTTTCTTCCCAAACACTATACAGTTTAAGACTTTGAGTTATCTAACAATAAGTAAAAAGTGGACATGCTAAAAAAAAAAAAAAGATACATGAGCAATTACCTTTCCCTGGCCTTTTTTTTTTTTAATATAGCTTTATTGATTTCAGAGAGAGGAAGGGAGAGAGGGAGAGAGAGTTAGAAACATCAGTGATGAGAGTCATTGATCAGCTGCCTCCTGCAAGCCCCCCACTGGGGATCGAGCCCACAACAGGGGCATGTGCCCTGACCAGGAACCAAACCAGATCTCTTGGATCCTAGGTGGATGCTCAACCATTGAGCCACACCTGGCCGGGCTTCCTGACCATTTTTTTGTTTGTTTGTTTTGTTCTTTTTAAAAATATATCTTTATTGATTTCGGGGAGAGGAAAGGAGAGGGAGAGAGAGAGATAGAAACATCAATGATGAGAGAGTCACTGATCGAGCCCGCAACCCAGGCATGTGCCCTGACTGGGAATCGAACCCCGATTGCCTAGATCCTAGGTCGATGCTCAACCGCTGAGCCATGCCCAGCCGGGCCCTGACCATTCTTGATTTGGAAAACAAGACATAGAAAAATAGTCACATGATAGGTTTTCTTTTTTCTTACATAGTACTTAATCTAGTCTGTTGTGTAGGTATGCAACAGAATGAAATGTTGCAATAAATAGACTAGAAATTCCACACACTTTTGTTTTAACGGTGGCTTTTTTGAGGCATTTTAAAAGAGGTATTTTAGAAACTCTAAGTTGAAAAGCATATGTCATTCCATATACGATCTGATACTCAAAGGCATCAGGTCTGGGTTGCTTTGTTATATGAGAATTTAAAAGTATTTGACAAGTTAGCATGTTAGCGGTTTATTATTAAGGACTGTATGCAAAAAAATTTTTGGAAACTTTGTATTATGGATTTTACTTTAAATCTAGACATGTGTCAGATAAGCATGAGGTAAAGAAGCATTTGCATAGAATAAAATCTAGAAGAATTACAAATTTTCATTCATTCTCGAAGATTTTGTCTGGGTATTTCTTCCTTAGCTGTCGTCGAGCAGCTACTGTCGATGCATAGATGACATATCCCCAGGAAAGTAATACGATCGCGAGGAGCAACTAAAAAAGTAAATAAATGAAAATGAAAGAGGGAGTAAAAGCGAAAAACTTAACTGAGTAGTACCGCCTTCCTGCCCCGCCTCCCCACTGGTTGCCAAGTACGTTGCTAAGGTGGAAGTTACAGCGACAAACGAATAAATGGAATTCCGGAGGCGAGTCCGCCCAACTGTCCTTACGTAAGGAGCGGAAGAGCGTGTCCTCCAGGAAGAGGCGGAGTCGAGAGGAGGGAGTGAAATGCTCGATTCAGGAATGGGTTTGAGAGTTTCTGGGCGCTGAAGGAATACGGGGCCTTCCGCCCGCCAGCCTAGGGAGTAGACACCGTAGAGCTCGCCCGACCGCGGACCTACCACTGAATAAATCCAGTCCAGGGTGCGGCGACTCACTGGCTTCATGGTAAGGAGGCAACGGCGCTCCGCCGGAACGGCCTGGACCCGCAGGCCCTAGAGTAACCTCCGGGGCGGCGGCTGTCGGGCTGCGGCGGCGGCGGCGGCCATCTTACATCCGGGCACGAATGCCCGCCCACTCGCCTCCAGGCGCGTTTCCCATCGCCGGGCCGGCCTCTTCCGCCCGGAGCTGGGGGCGGGCTTACGTGATCGCGGGCCTAGCCCGCCTTTCAGGGAGGGGATTAAACGAGAAAATGTTTTAAAATGGCCTTTTTTTTTTTTGCCCGCTTAGAGAGATAGGCGTACCTCGTTAACCGGTTCTTTCAGTTGCAGTGCAGTGTTAATGCAAGGTAATGTTCCGTCGTGTGCATTTAAAAGTTTATTTGGAAAACTAATCTATGTGTTAAATATTACACCGGCGTCTAACGCTGAAAGAATTAACGTTTCCTCTCGCATCTATTCCCACATCATATTGATAGTCTTTCGTATAGTCATCGTTGGCTCAAACAATACCACCCACTTTTATGTAACAGTGACGAATCGTTGTGGGAATCCCTGATAACTGAGCCCTTCTTGAAGAAACAAAAGTCTTTCGTAACTCAGTGACTTGTTGATGTAAATGATAACTTCTGAGAAGAAATAACGTGGCACCAGTTCTCCGGCATAATGTACCTGCCAATCAACAAGTGTGTGTTGAGCGTTTATTATGTGCTTAGAACGTTAGCACGTTATCAAATGTTACGCTAAAGGACGACGGTTTGGCACGTGGCGGTTGTACCAAGTTCAGCTCTAGAATGTTTGGGACGCTCACATTTGAGGCCAGAGCGCAGGCTGCGGCAGTGGGCCGCTTTAGGCTCAGACGCTCTTTCACGGCACATCTCACATATCTTCTAAAAATAGGGTTTTAATTCTGATTTCGGGGGTGGGGAAGGGGGAAAGTAGGCTTGACAGAAAGCCGTTAAGTTTTGTGGAGATTTCAAGGCCATTTTATCAAGGTAATCCCTGTTTATCTCGACTGGAGTTGATCTTTCTCTCTGAAGACTATAGAATACTGGTTGGGTTCTGGCTTTGGATTCTATTCACGTCTCGGTGTTATTTCCTGGGAGGTAGTCACTTCACCTCTATGTAACTCAGTTCCTTTATATACTAGAGATAATTTTAGTAACCTCGCAAAGTTTGGGGAGGTTCAAATGAGACCAAGCTAGTTATCGTGTTTTCCTGGTAAGTTAGGAGCGACATTAAGCTTCTGCCTTTGTAACCCCAGAGATTAGTCGTAACGAAAGTAGCGATTTCTGCCTGGGAAAGTCTAGTCGCTCCTGCACCTGGTACGCGGCGGGTGCGCGGCTAAGGGCCGAGCGCACTAAGCTCCGCCCTCAGTCCCGGCGCCCTTCTGCGCAGGCGTCACGCAGGCCGGGTGTTTTGTTTTGACGCGCCCGGAGCCTCTGGGTGGGTGTTGCTCCTACCGCCGCCTCCAAGCTACCATTGGTGATGAGCGCTTTACGTCACAGGGGTCGCAACAGCCGCCGGGGTCTCCGCTGTCTCGCGAGGAGGGTGAAGCGCCCCCGCATGCTCCGGCTCCTGAGGGCCCGCGGAGAAGTCGCCGGGTACGCCTTCGCGGATCCTGCCGTCACCGACCTGGCTTCCTGGGCCGCCGGGAGCTTGCCACCAGTGCCCCAGCCCGGCACTCGCCGACCTTCTCCGAGGTGAGTGAGATCGGGAACAATGGGGCGCGGGGGTCGGAAGGGCTGGCCGAGCTGGAGTTCCCGTCTAGAGGGAGGTCCATAGAGTAGGGAACTGAGAGGCCGTCCGGGCCCCCGGCGGGCAGACGGCACCTGCGGCGCACCTGTGGATTTGCGCGGGTGGGCGGAAGAGGGCTGCGTTTCCAAGGAGCGCTGCGGTAGGGGGGCTGCGCGAGCCTACCCGTGAACTGGAAAGACCTTGGTCTCCAGGGAGGAGAAAATCCAACACGAAGGGAGTCTGAATCTTGGCATCTCCATTGTCAGAGGTGTGACCTTGGATGGATTCTCTGACCTCTCTGAGCCTGTCTGTAAAATGGGAATAACGATATTTTAGCTCATTGTGATTATGTAATGCACATGGTGGTTGTCTTAGATCCTGGTTGGTGTTGGTTCGCAACCCAAGGAAACGACTATCGCTGTGACTGTTGGAGCTGTGTGTGCCGTGTTGTATACACTGGGCTGGGCTCATTCATTCAGTCTGTGTAGCTTTCCTCGTGGGCTGCAGATTCATTCCTATACTGGAAGGGGGCAGTGCTGAGATGAGGCAAACAGTGATTTAAGGGGAAAAGTGAATAGAAGTTTTGGTAGGTGATTTTCAACATTAAGTTAAGAAAGAGCTACCCAAGATTTAAGTTAATAGGTGGTGGTGGGGGGGTTGGTTTTAGTCAGTGGCATGGAAAACTAGATAGTCAGCTGAAACAAGCATGCTTGTCTGGAATGGGTGGCTTTAGAAGGGAAAGATTCCCGAGCGCTTCTTTTTATTGCTGGAATTGGAATTAAATTTTATAGGATCTGGTCAGTAGATCCTATGTCTTCCATGTGATCTTTTGGAATTTATTAAATTGCAGTTCAGAGAGGTACAGTGATTTCTTTAAGGTCACAAGAGGTAGAACCCAGGTTATTTTAAATCCTTTGGGTATATTTCTAATTTATCCACTTATGAACCCTTTTTAACTACTTTGCTTAGATATATTAAGTACAATAATGTTAAGTACAAAGATAAGTCGTTTTAGACTGTCATCTCTCTGGACCCTTTATAACGAGTTATCGGTGATGAAAACTACCAGAAGTAACTTTATTTTCACATAACATAGGGAAACGGTATTAATGCTTGCCAAACACTATCCTAAATGTTTTCGTGGAATGTATCCCTTCTTTTCAGGTAGGTACTGTTATTTAAGGTCTAAAAAAATTAAATAACTTCTTTCAGATCACACAGCTATTAAGTGGTTTTGATTCTCAGCCCTGGCTCTGCATTAAAATATCACTCCAAATGTAACATGAAGATTTGGGAAGGGAAGGATTGGCTTAATCAGTTTATCCTAAAGATGGTAAACTTTATTTAGAATTTTAGAGGCAGTTAAGGAAATGGGATCATTCCTCATTCTCTGAGTGGGGAAATGAATTTGAAGTCCTAATTCCTAGAGAGCTAGAGAAACCTTTATCACAAACTTCTAGAACCCAAAGCACTAAATTTACCCTCATGTCCACCTTGGCTTTCTAAACCCAGAACTCCTCCTACAGAATCTTTATCTCTAGCCATCCCTGTTTTATGCCTTACTTTGTGTTTTTTAAACAGCTTTGTTTCATTCATAAAGTTCACCTGTTAAATATATATAATTCAATCGTTTTTAGTATATTTGCAGAGTGCAACCATGATCAAATTGAATATTTTCATCATCCCAGAAAGAAACCTTATCCCTCTCCCAACCCCCAGCAACCACCAATCTACAGAGGTGGG